GATATAATCCTCAAGGTGGAGGGATTCGTCTTTCTCTTTAAGCGCTTTGAGTAGTCTTGCCAATTGTCTTATTCTTTGGCTAACATAGTAGGAATTGCTGGTTCCCACCTTGTCTAGTACATATGTACCAAATTTGATAATAAAAGGATCTTTTCTGGCCAAAGGTGACACCTCGTCGTCTTTCATCCTTGAAAGAGCGTGCTCTGTGAGTTGTCTGTCGCAGTCTGCCTGGCTGTATCATGGCAACAGCATATTTGATTGGCTTTGCAGCCTCTCATATTTTTTTGAGCTCTGTTTTTCTTTACAGATGTCACAGTGCCCCCTCAAAATCATGTTTCTTGAAGAAGCCATAGCAATGAATACATGGCTTATAGTCAAGTGGTGTAACTTCTTCTTGCTTATCTTTTGTTGGTTTTCTTACCACTATAAGTTGACCTTTCTTTATGCTCAGGACATTGCAATGGTGGTGGTAGTCACCCAGATTTCTAATTTTTTCAAATAGATTTATTCTCTTTTCTCTTTGTGATTCATTCAGGGCCATTTTCACCATTTCTTCATTCTTATGGCCCCTTTCAAGGTGTCTAGTCATTTGCGTCTGTACTTTTGAGTCTTAAATAAAGCAAGAAATATGAACAATTTTAAAGTCATGTTTAATTTACGTACAAATAATTTTTTTTTAAATAAATATTTTTTTAATTTTTTATATTTTTTGAAAATGCAGGCTTCACCTGCCTCTATGATAGAAGCTGGAAAAGATTTGTTTACATGCAAGCATTCAACAATGGTGTACCTTTCTATTTTCAGGCACCATCAGTTGGTCAAACCTTTTATTTGGTAATTTATGAAAGCATGCTACTTACAGAATGCAGAGTGAAATTAAGGTGCACTATACATGTACTCGTTTTCTCACTAAATCAGGTGTGCATTAAGACATTTTAAAAGAGGGAATGTCCACTAAAACCGAGCAAAATCGAGAATACGAGAGACTCAGACGTGTGTCTGAGTTGTTACGACATTAAGTGTCACGCAGTGAAGGTTTATCATGGTAATCGTGTGTATTATAATGTAGAAATTGATTCTCTTAACATAAAATTATCAATATCGAACACTATTCAATACTTGAATCCAATCAAAGTGTTTATTTAACAATCAGAAGTCATGGGCGAAGGCTTCTGCCCATGGGCTATCAGGTCTAAGTCTACAAGACCGAGAGGTCTATTGCCTTTTAGTATTTAACACTCTTCTAGTCGAAAAAAAAATGAATTATATAATAACAATTTTTGCATATCTAACAAGAATTTTTTATATATAATAACGAAGTTTTTATGCTGAAATTCGCACTTATGGTTTTAATTAAATGTGCATAAAGTCTCGGACGTCTTTTTACACGCTTGGTATGTTTGACAAGTAAAAATTAATCCACTGCACGCTGGTGAGAKCTAGTTTTGAGTGAAAAAACGYAAAATGGTCCTTAACACATCGACATGAATCACAATATTTCTAAAAGAAAATCAAAGTTGGCACTTTTCACTGGTCTAAGTTTTTTGACTGCGCAATATTTAGCAGGATAGCAGAGTGGGGGTGGCCAAAGAAGGATAGGGACATATTTCTTTTACTCTTTTCGAGACATGTGATAACTATACTTTAGTTAAATTACCATATGAAAAAAAGCAGAAGACCGGGAAGGAACTCCTTAAACGCTCCATGTTTTTAAAAATATCTGTTTCCGCCATAACAAAGATTCTGTATATGTAAACTAGTAAATTGGTAGAGTTTTAGTTTCAAATTTTGAATATCGCAAGATTTGCAATCATTTAAAACGTACAAAAACATGAAAACGAGGATGTTAAGCTTTTCACTCAAAACTTTGCAATTTCAACACCTACAATTTCTAGTAATGTTTGAGCACTGAAATTATTTTACTTACTACTCACTATATTATGCTCTTTCAACGAGTATTAATGATACATAATCAACTTTTATAATAACAACGCCCCTATATGGTCATATAAGTGTTCGCAATGCATAACAAGCACATTTATTGATACTTAACATTCAAGATATGAAATCAATTAATACTTGATTAACGCTAAATTTTTACAGCTATAGCATTGAATGCTCCCCGCTCCCCTCTCGATCTCACCCCGGGAAGTACACCCCCCAACTTAGGTGGGGGTGTGCCGCTGGGACCTCAAAACCCTGACTCTGTTCCAGAGTGAAATCGCTGAAAAGTAAACCCTGTTCCAGAGTAAAATCACAGAAAACGATACCCTGTTCCAGAGAAAATCCAGCACTAGCTTGCGTGCAGACTGAATTTTTACCCCTGTGTCTTTCGAATTGATGATCTCTGCTGTAATAAATTTTTCGGCTCTGTTATTAAAATTTACCAAATAGTAGATAAACTAATTGAAATTGTTTGAATAAATGATTTTTGACATTATTTAATTTAAATATGTAGCAAGTAATTGTACAATGAGATAATTTATGCATATAATTTATGAGATAATTTTTAGGACTTTTAGCAATAAAAACTTTGTTATCATATATCTCATTTCTTTTTTTCTTCAAGTAGAAGGGTAGATATTAAGGGTAGATATTATGTCTTGTGGACATAAAGCTGATAGCCCATGAGGCAGAACCCTTCGCACCTGAGGTCTGATTAATAAATAAACCCTTTTATTGGATACATATATTGAATAGTGTTCGATATTGATGATTTTATGTTAAGAGAATCAATTTCTACATTATAATACACACGATAACCATGATAAACCTTCATTGCGTGACACTTAAGGTCGTGACAACTCAGACACACGTCTGATTGTCTGGACTTGTTGTCAGGTTTTTGTTGTGATTTTGTCGTTTTTTAAATCGCTATATCTCCAAGAATATACAAAGCCCCAGAAAAATTTTTATATCTTTTTAAAGAACAACCTTTCCTCTACTCAAATCCAAAATATCAAGAAATTCGCAACATGTCCGGGCAGGAAAAATTGATATTCAAAAAGTCTGGTAAATTAAGAATTTTTTTACTCGCAAACTTGTCTACATTTTGACTGCTTTTTATAGTTTTAAAAACGAGCTTGCGAAGTCAAAATTTACATCCAGATGTTTATTATTATCTGTCATTTACGATTATGAAGTCGACTGATGTTTTTATTTACTTTCAATTCATCAAATAAGACGTTTCTGAAAAGTGATATTCACGCGATGTTTTTGTCAATTTCAGCCATTTYTAGTCAGTGTCWGGTTTTTCTAAATTTCTCGCGTTTAAAATAAAATTTTCGAAAACAAACCCCACCATGATTTTTAGTATATAATAGGGTCTCAATTGTTAAAATATGAAGGATTTTGATTTTTCATCATGTGCCGCCCTTTGCTCGGTGTTAGTGGACATTCGCTCTATACTAGAAGTATAATTTTTGAAGAGTATTACAAGAAGACTTTTAATTTAACTACAGATCGAATCTCTGTAAGATGATAAGGGAAGCCTATGAGCAATTACCTAGTGAGGAATGGGCCATTTACATTGGGTTCACGCAACTCATGCTTGAGTTAGTTAACATGCTTAAAATGTACGTATTACCCATAATGCAAACATTATATTTCTGCAATGATTAGTACAATAGATGGTTTTAGCTATTTATCATATCAATCTCCACATTTGACTGGCAGTAAATGTCACTAATTAAGTTACTTAGATCTTTAAGTGAAGCCTCCTCAGTTGTATTTGATTGCAGTTTCTCTGACCCTAAGTATTATTCACATATTGTCAGCATTTTACTGCAGATAAGTTGAATAAAAAGCTAACAATTATATTGTCCGATTCTAATTAATGGTTGTACAGAATCAACTATTTGAACTATTTGTCTGAGTAGAGGATGAAGAATAGAAAATCAACATAAATATTCTTGTTTGAAATAACTTACTTTCTTGATCTTTATGTGAACCCTCCTCCATGTCAGTTGTATTTGATTGCAGTTTCTCTGACCCTAAGTAAAAATAAACATTTTACCGTAGCAGATAAGTTGATAAGATGATAAGTTGACTGACTTATTTTCAGGCGAATCCAGGCAAATCTTTAAATAAATCCTTGCTTTGACTGGTAAAATCAAATACAGCAGACTTAATGTGGCATCTAATACTTTAAATGAAATTGACCTATTAGGCCAAGAAAAGAAATATTTTAAAACGATGCCAATAAAATAATCAAAGTCGCCTTTTTGTTATTTATATAGAGAGTTTCTTCTTGTTCTAATTTGAAATCTTTGCCCACAAGACCGTCTTAAGCTGGAAAGCTCATTGATTCAGATTCATAATACTTCTCAAAGGTCCATGCGATCGTCGTGTGCGTGCTTATGGTGCCTAGACTGGTGCATTCTGATGACATTCCCACATGGTTCTTAATAAGCATATTTATTAGTATATAAGTCACGCAAATTGTGAAATACAATGATGTGCCGCAGACTCGGACTTATATGACGTAAGTGTACTTAATAAATATCATGATGCCATGATCAAGACGCCAAGTGACTTTGAATGGTCAGTGGTAAAAAATAAAGGTCTGCAAGAAAAACACTACTTAGATTGGCTGGAATAATACACGCAATTCCAAAAGAATGGAAAACAATTACAAAATCGCATAATTCTAACACCAAGACAAGCAGTGTTTTTATCTTTGATTCGAACATAGTCGACATAGATAAAGTCACAACTAAGGAAATTTATAAAAGTATAATCGAAAATAAATTCAAATCACCAACGTCTCAAACAAATATAGAAAAAAGGATCTCATCTAACGTAAAAGAAGACCTTGATTGGGATAAAATATATACTAGAATTTACACAACAACGATTGACACTTATCTCCGCATTTTTCAATATAAGATACTTAATAATATTTTGTATTTGAATCGTGATCTTTTCCGTTTTCAGTTGAGTAATACCGCCTCTTGTTCTCTTTGCCATTTCAATGTGGAAACGATTGATCATTTATTTATAGATTGTACAGAAGCAAAAAGCTACTATTTTGACATACGRGCTTGGCTGGAGGAGTATGAAATATGGTTACCAGCTTTAAACATTAAGAATATAATATTGGGAGTTGACGAAATCAGTGTAAACTTTATTATTTTACTATACAAATATTCTTTATACAAGCAAAGAGTAAAGCAAAAACCGCCATCACTAAATAGTTTTAAAAATCTACTAAAACAATATGAATTAATTGAAAGAAAAGTCGCTACAAGCAGAAACAAAATGTATACACACAATGAGAAATGGGAGAAAATTATACGTGCTCTGTCTAATTAATTTCAAACAGCAAAATTATCTAAGACATAGCCTATATAGCCATCTCTTTTCTCATGTACCTTTGTTTTGCTATTAGTTTGTTTCAATTAGTCTATTTTCTATTGTATGTTAAGAGAATCTAGAGGAGATCACCTATGGTGTTCTTCTCCTTAATTGTAAATGTATAATGTAACTAAGTGTAATATGTCTGTAATTTATGGTGTTTGTAAAATATTTATTAAAATATATCAATAAAAAAAAAATAAAATAAAAAGAAGACGCCAAGTGAATTAATAACATAGGAATCCCAATTGAAGTTGTTCGATTTCCGGTTCTAAAACAATGTGATTCTTTAGACTTCCATTGACCTAATGTGACATAATACACAGATACATAGATTGACGAAAAGGTAAAACTACAGTCGATCTAGACAGCTAGACCGACTAACCCATATGTAGCAGAATATATTGATCACGTGACATAACACATGAAAACTGTAATATATGCATTTTTTAATTATTTATTTAAATCTCTCAAGATGGTTTAAATTTAGATTAAAGAGTTTCGATAGCCATGAGCCGAGAAAAAAAAACAAAGCAAGTAGAGAATGGCATTACAAGGAATAATTAAATATACAGAATATACAAAATAAAAAAGATGATAGACTATAAAGATGTTCGTCTCGTTAGAGAAAGAGCATTGTTAACATTATGCCATTCTCTCTTGCCTTTGTTAATCATTTTTTTTTTTTTTTTTACATATCACATAAGAAGTTCGTGATCATGATTCTAAAACGTGTTCTTCACACTTAGAGATCAAAAGATGGAAAATCCTATGAAGTTATATCGTAATCCTGTTTCCAAAGACATTGTTCTACGTTCTCAAATTAGCAAGATATTGAACTT